TGTGTAGTTGTGTACGTGGAAACGTGCACTTGTGCACAATTCATTGAGCACGCGTGTAGCAACCCGCGTGCACATGCTTTGGGCCATATCAGTGTGCCCGGTCACAGCCACACTGTCGAATGCTGCAGGGTGATTGGGGCTCACCCACAGAGCCTCACAGCCACACTCAGGGCACCACACAGTGGCGTCATTGTTGGCAGCACAAAACTCATCATGCATTGTTGTGAAACGTGCGCGTTTTACCCATAATGCTCCACAAACAGCGCAAAATTATTTGTTCACAAAATTGCTTATTTCACTAAACAGGACCCCGTTGGTGCTCTTGCCAATAACATCTGGGAGGCAGGCAGCATTTGTTTTACGAGTCTGATCCAGAAGGTCGAAGCCGGTCCTGACTTTTGTTTGCTTAAACAAATGCTACTGGGTAATTAATATTTGTCTGGAAAGCCAATAGCCAGATGCGTCGAACTTACAAGCAAACTGAGTCTGCTTATAAGGTTTAAGCATTTACCCTTTTTTCATCGGCAAAATGTCCATGTGGGTGCAATTGAGTCCATAGCTGTGGATCTCAACGAAGCAATTTACCATACTTGGCATGCCGATGTGCCACCCAGAATTGCAATGAGACAGATGGGTCCATAAGCCGGTAATATTTGCAGAATGCGTGCGGCAGAGAGCATAAATCAACCTGGCGTGCCCTGCCACCGCTCAACGGGGGGCAGGGGGGTCTGGGTAGGGGGGGGCGCCACATGCTGATGGGATGCAAGGTTGGTTTCTGCATTACGGACCGGCACATGAATGACAAGGTGCCCGCCAGTGCGCCCGTGAGGGATGCAAGGCGTTGCAATACGGCACTGGCAATGACAATGGAAATATATATTTGGGTTGCCGCGATGTAACTTTTTTTCCACGATGCGATATGAAATGTAACGTTGTGACGATTATCGCGATATCAAGTCAAAAGTCACGGCAACGCTGTTTCCTGACAAGTTGTTTTTCATAATTGTTGTCAGGACAAAATTTATTCACGTAAAATGAAACGAGCAGTGATAATCGCGACATTGCATCATTTTGGAAAACAGACGATACGATTATCGAAGACTTCTCGTACGATGTTATGTCGGAGTATCGCCATATCGCCAACTCTACTTCTTCTTCCAGGCGTTTGGCCCACTCGTGTGGGGGTGTCCGCTGTCCTTGCCAACCTTCTCCACGCTGCCCCGTCCTGCACCATCTCTCTGTCCGCTCCTCGGGCCACCGTGGTTCGATCGCACCACATCGCCCCCCACCTCCTCTTCTGCCTTGCTCTCTTTCATTCCACTTGCATCGCTTGCACCTTCTGACCCACGATATTTTAAAGTCGTCTCTCAACATGACCGAACCACACCAGTCTTTTCTCTCTCGTCTTCTCCGTGATGTCGACCACCTTGAGTCTTCCTCTCACTTCTTCATTTCTCACCACCTGTGGCCTTCCTTGTTAAACCCAACATCCACCGCAACATCCTCGTCTCCGTGACTGCCGTAGCTCGATCCTCCCTCTTTCTTGTGCCCCAGCAATCGGCCGCGTACAACAGCACCGGCCTCACCACCGTCTTGCACTATACACTACACTATACACTACTATACCCTACACTATACACTACACACTTTTCCCTTCAACCAAACTGGGACCCTCCCATCGTACACCACACCAGTCATCTCTCGCCATTTCAGCCGTCCAGCCCTTGTTCGTGTTCTCATCTCCACTTTTTTTCAGTTTCATTTCAGTTTCATGGATTAGGTATAACCCTGTGAGCCATGCGGCTCTTGACTCGGGTGCAACCGCAACAAAACAAAAACACGAACAAGAAACATCTGAAAGTGACTACACTCAACGGAATAATGAAAAAACCCAGCAAAGTCTTCCAGAAAAAACACCGTATTTCAACGCTGTGCGCAAAAATCCCAGTGGGATGCAAGTCAAACAATAACAACCATAAGACAATGTAGATTAAAGTTATCAGGCTAACTCTGTACTACAACAAACAAACATGGATATTCTTCTTGGTTCTTTCGGTAAAGTCACGTAGAATGGAAATAACATAATAAAAATAAAACATGATAAAATAAAATTCTCACGACGTTTCGGCCACAACACAAGTAGCCTTCTTCAGGTGAAGGAAGAGAACTGTCGGGACGACAGCGCTCCAATGAACGCTGCTAAGATTTACAGCGTCTTTTAAGCTAGGTTGGAGAAGTAAAGCGCCTTGACAAAGGAGTTTACATATCAAACAGGATAATTTAGCATTGAAATAGCTATGTTAAAGTGTGCTAATTTCTGATTTTAACATCCTGTTGATCCAACACTTTATTTCCATTCTACGTGGTTTTACCGAAAGAACCAAGAAGATGAATCCCTGCAGTCACGAAAGCTTTAAATTGAAACATGGCTAAACCAAAAGTTTTTTAAATCACCAAAAAAAGCTATAAAAACAATGTAACAGTGATCATAGGAACTGTGATTCAAATTTATCAATAAACGATATACATAACATGTACGACCATACTTTGCAGCCATAGCTGGCTGCATGAGTCACTCCATAACAGCAGGAGTATCAGTAGCAGTATCAAAATTTTGCAATACACCTTTAAAGATCAGCACACTATAATCAAAACTCAAAATCATACTTTGCAGCGGTCATCTAGAACGATACATTTGATTTCAGGCCATTCTGAATAGCAGTGGCAGCTAGGGATGTACAACTCCTCTAGAGCAGTTTTGAGTGAAGATCTCACAGGTAGTGATCCAAGTTGCAGTTTATTGGCGATAGCATTCCAGACCCTGGGGGCATCAATAGAAAAGGCCCTTCCTCCAGTATTTGTACGGTTGGTTTTGGAACGAGTGTTGCTGTGGGTTGACGAATAAAGAAGTGCTGAACCAGCCTCCGACTCCTCTTCATCTGTACACTTGTAGTGATCCAACATCGTTGCACGCAGGTACTTAAACTCGTTCGTCTTCATAAGCTGGTCACTTCCAATTTGCGATCGACAACTCGACAATGCAGACACATCACGTGTCCCTAAATAAAGACTGCCATCCAGCGGTGCACAGGCGGTAGTTGACGTGGTGGGCGCGTGTGTGGCAATGGGCGCAGCGAAAAGTGTCTTGTCACTTGTGACGAAAAGTAACGATTTTTTTAACCGGCCCTGGGCCTCCCCTAGGTCGACTCAGCATCAAATGAGTACCTGGTGCGGTGTGTAAACATCGCCGCTAGGGAGACAAAGGCGGTCGAGCGTGGTGCTGGCCATCCACCGCTTCGTGTACCGTTCCGGCCTTCATAGGTGCTCGATAACGGCACTGTCTTGCCCCAACAGTCTGTTAAGGCTATACGGGGGATCTTTGTCTTTGCAAAGAAAAGTGTCTTGGCATAATTCGGGTATCACCACAGGGGTAGGCTGTTTGGGGCAAGTGCTTTTAGCGAGCACATATTGGGCCGTCACGCACCTAGGGGGGTGAGACATTTGTGACGATGTGTGACGAGGGGGGGGGGGGTGTTTAAGAAATGTGACGTCACATCAAAATGCGCAACTTTAAATAAATATAGACAACACGTTCTACTTAATTAAATAGACTTTTTAATAATTGTTTTCTCCTACAACATCAGAGTGCAGCGCCACATTAAATACGCACTACAATGACAATAGTTTAAAGCGATTTGAAGCATCTTTCTATATTTTTTTGGAGGGGGGGGGGGTCAGAGCTTTGTGACGCCGTATGACAAGGGGGGGGGTCATAAATCGTCCAAAATCGCGTGACGTCATTTATGGACGGCCCCTGTGTAGCAACACGCCCGGCCGCCTTTGTCTCTCCAGTGCTGATGCGTACACGTGACACCAGGTACTCATTTAAGGCTGAGTCAACCGAGATGGGGCCGCACAACAAATAACTCACAGCCACAACTTGTATTCTTGGTTCTTTCGGTAAAGTCACGTAGAAGGGAAACAATAAAATAATAAAAATATAAAACAATACAATTCTCACGACGTTTCGACTGCAACACAAGCAATCATCATCAGGTGTGAAAACCACAGCAAGAATTGTTTTTAAAAGTGGCGGGTTTTTTTAACGTTAGCACCACAGATGGACGAGTCCATCTATGTTCGGAAAAGAGGAGGGGGGAGACGAAAAATAATGGATGTGGTCTGAAAGCCACCGTAAGCGTGAACAATCAATTAAAACCTGAAATGGTTTATAAAATCCTTCCAATGATTGCTAAGCCAGAATCCATCTTCTCGGTTGAAATTGTCTCTGTGTTTGTATATGTGGATAGCCTCATGAACGAATCTCTCATGGTAGCCAGATGGCTTGCAAAGAACCTCTGTCTTGGAGAAGTCAATGTCATGTGAGCCTACTGAATAATAACAGTGATCTGCCACGGCCGAGGTGTTGGTCCTACCGTGTTTTAGGTCTGCTTTGTGTTCACGAATGCGGTCCGAGACATGTCGTTTGGTTTCTCCAATGTAACTACTACCAAAGACAAAAGACCCCCATATAGCTTTAGCAAACTGTTGGGGCAAGTGCTGTTAGCGAGCATTTATGAAGTCCGGCACGGCGCACGAGGGTGGCCAATCCCACGCCCGGACGCATTTTTCTCCCCAGTGGCGACGTTTACAGACCGCACCAGGTACTCATTTGAGGCCGAGTCGACCTAGGGGAGGCCCAGGACCGGTTCAAATAATCGTCATTTTTCGTCACCAGACACTTTTCGCTGCGCTCATTGTCACAGACGCGGCCCACCGCCACCACAGAAACTATCGCCTGTGCACCACTGGAGGGCAGTCTACAGTCAGGGGACACGGGATATTGCTCACAATCGTCACTTTATGATCTTTGACCGTGAGCGGGAATCGAACCCGGGACCCGCCGAGTTCGTAGCGTGGCGCAGCGCTACCCCCCCACCGCTCCCCACGCGGGGGCGCGCGCGCGTTGCAATCCACGTGGCCGCACAAGAAGCGCACGTGGTCGAAGGAGGGAGGGAGTTGGAGGACACGCGGCTGTCGTAAAGCGACGACGTCGCAAAGTTGGCCCCTTCTCGCGCCTCTCTCTCCCCCCGCCCCTCTCTACTTTACGGCGCCGCCGTCAGCACGCGGCCTCTCTTTCAGGCAAGATGGCGACAGGGGTGAGTCGTACTGGGGCGGCGCGCACTGCAGAATCCGTCTCGGAGCGCGGGCATCCTCGCGTTCGGAGCGAAACAACTCGGCCGGTGTGGCGCATCGAGGTGTCCCGCGTGCGGCCGCCGCGTCATTTTGTCCGCCTCGCTTTGTTGCCCTGTGCGTGCGTGCGGTGCGCGCAGACGCTGTACACGTACCCGGAGAACTGGCGAGCCTTCAAGGCCCTGGTCGCGGCGCAGTACAGCGGGGCCAAGATCAAAGTGGTCGCGGAAACTCCCGAGTTCATCTTCGGGCAGACGAACAAAAGCGAAAAGTTTATCGCCAAGTTCCCGCTAGGAAAGGTGAGGAGAGAGTGAGACGGCTGATGGGGGGTGGGGGGGGGGTTGGCTGCGGCTGCGGCTGCTGTGAGGATGTGAGAAAGTTTGTGGTTGTTGGGGATTCGCGCTACGCTATGAACCCGGCGACCGACCCGGGGTTCGACTCCCGCTCACGGCCAACAGCACCGGTGACGATTTATCTGAACCGGCCCTGGGCCTTACCGAGGGTGTGTAGTCAACATCGCCACTGGGGAGACAAAGGCGGCCGGGCGTGGTGCTACTGGCCACGCATTCCCTCGTGTGCCGTGCCGGCCTTCATAGGTGCTCGCTAACAGCACTCGCCCCAAACAGTCTGTCAAGGCTATGCGGGGGTCGGCGGGGGAGGGGGTGTCCCGAATGAATGGGTAAAGCCGCGCGTGTCCCACAACACGGAGCGGCGCGTTTCGCGCCTCTCTTGTTCGTTTGAAATGTAAATATTGCCCCTCTTGTTCACGGTGTTGATAAGACATTCGTGGTTGGGTTGGGTTTGATTGTCTTTTTTAAGTCCCACGGAGCTCGCCTACCCCACACACACACAATGTTAGAGGCGTCAAAGGCGTCGTCTGCTGCCTTCATTGTGCTGACGTGGTGTCGTGGCAGACAGAGAATCTGTGTGTGTGTGCCCCTGCTGCTGCAGTACGATGATTGTAGTTGCAGTGTAAATTCAGTCTTAAATATGACCGTGTCAATTACAACGGGACGCATATGCACTCGTGATTATTTATGGTTTGTGCAGTTGAACGTGAAATATGCGTCAAAACGTGGGTATTCACGTCTTTCGTGCGGCGTTAACAGTGGCTTGCAGTGTGTCAATTGAAATGTTTAAAGTGGTGAATATCGGATATAAAATGTTATTATACGAGTTAATGTGTTCTTTTTGACTGGTGGCCACAAAAGCTACTTTTGTACAATACAACAGTGTATGCGGTGTAAATGCAAAATGAATTAACGCATAACGCATTTGCGTTGTGATGCAAGTAGTTTCTGCAAATCCCGATGTCTGCATGAGTCGGTTGGAGCCAGAACTTTGATAGTGCTGGCAGGGCCCCTCGGCTTTGCAGACGACGTCAATGACTCGTGAGCTACAGCGCCCTGGTGTAGAATGAAGAGTGTCGGTTGTGGCGTGGCATCCTTAGAAATGTTAAGAGCCATTGAGGACTATAATTACTATGAAGTCCGATTATTTAAATTAGATCATTTAAAGTAACCAATATCGGATGAGACCAATTGGATAGCAGAAGAAAAGTTGACGAGTCATTCCCGTTACTCGTGTGTGCTGCCACTGTACGGGAGGTTATGGGTTTGCGTCTTTGTGACGTCATCTGCATCACGCTGGGTGTGGCTTGTAGGGGGTTTCCCGCCTTCGCGATGTAGGGGCGGCGGCCATTTTTTAAGGGGCCTGAGCAATTGGCCACAATGTGGCCTATTGCAATTTTGTGAGGATTCATCGACTAATAGTTAAGTCTTTATTGGTAGAGGTAGCTACCCCCCTCCCCCCGTGCTAATAATTAAAAGTTTGATAACATGGTGTTTTTTATTAAGTGTTACAATAACATGGATTGGTCTCCTTGGTCTGCAATGAGTGGAGTGTGGAGTAGTAATGTTTTCCACGGCATTGCGGAGTAGAGCAATTGGCCATAGACTAACGTGTTTATTGAACCTGAGCCACGATATACAACTAAAGGTTTGATCCTCAATGAGTCATGATGCCTGAATATAGCGAGCGTTTTCCCCCTCTACCCCCTGGTGTAATGTTGCTCCAGTAGTGCAAGCCTGGGATCTCGTGAGATAATTTACCATGAAGGTTTTGCAGGACTGTCAATGCTGATATAAGCAATGGTTTGTGTTGTATGGTAGTGAATCATTAGTATTTATAGGTGTGATATGTGTGCCAATTAATGATCATTCTTGATCCATCTGTTTCTGTGTGAAGTGGATATGTACACTGATAAAATTGACAGCCATTATGTTCTACCTTGGTTATTTTTTCGATACCTAAATCCACTGGACAGTGCTCTAGGCTGGTAAATTTAGGCCAAAAGAGATGGCAAGGAATGGAAATGGGTGGTGTATAACTGAGTGGTTCAATATTGTAATGTTAAACGTTTTTTATGAAAAATTACGAATAATCTCGCCTTAATTAATATATGCGACTCAACATTTTAAGTATGCAAAAGTTACATGCAAAAAAGTTGTTATATTTGAATACTTTACCACTTTTTCTTGTTTTTCTTTAGGTACCAGCTTTTGAAGGGAGCAATGGATTCTCATTGTTTGAGAGCAATGCCATTGCACACTATGGTAAGTTGGGCAGCATTATAAGTTGTAGTTTATGGATAATTTATGTGATGTCGTTGACATTTGTGTATTTTTCAGATAATGTATTATTGCATTTAAATATGATTTTTTTTATCAAATGAACGTTTAGGCCCCTAAAGAATGAATATGAAAGTTCAAGTGCTGCTGCATGCTCTTTCACTTGATTTGTCCCAAATAGGAATAGGGTAGGATTGTACTAAACATGCTTAATATTTGTATGCAGTTGGACCTGTTAAAATTATTGGTGAACATAATTGTATTACTTTGGTGTACCTCATGAGGGTGTGATTCTGAATAATAATATTTATACTGGAGGAATCTGATGAGTTGTAACGCTCTTGTTCACAGATTTCAAGTAAATATACAAATTGGCCTGCAGAACATAATAACTACACCTTCACAGTTACCCTGTAGGAAACAAATTCGCATTCGTCTATAGCGTTTAAAATTACCTTGCAAGTCCCTTTTCATTTAGCATTTTTTTTTTCTGCAGCTCTGGAAGCTCTTATTAGTTATATTTCTATCCGTCGTCTTTGGTTCTTTTGGTAAAGTCACGTAGAATGAGAATAAAATAATAAATTGATCAAATAAAATAACACAATATTCTCACGACGTTTCGGCCACAAAAACGTCGTGAGAATATTATTGTGTTATTTTATTTTATCGATTTATTATTTTATTCTCATTCTACGTGACTTTACCGAAAGAACCAAAGGAGATGAATCCTTGCAGTCACGAAAGCTTTAAATCGAAATTTCTATCCATGTCAAATGAGTGTTTTTTCCATTGTTGCACTGGTAAAAAAGTTGCATGTCTTAATTAATGCAGGATTATTGTATGTAGGTGGGGGAATTGAGCTGAAGCATTGTGTTTGCCCAATGATTGCCAAGCGTGTTAATGAGTACCCCGTGTGATTGGCAAACCTGTCAACCCCTTATCAGTACCTACCTTATTACAGACCAATTCAGACCTTATTGGTCACCACGTGTCCCTTATAAATCTCAACGTTCATCCTACAGTCCCATCACAAGGGGAGAAACACAAAGACACAATAGTTTCTACTCACTTTCCCTGTTTAAGAATAAGGGGTAAGCTATAGTGGTTGACAGGTATGACAGTGTGGTGTATAGGAGTGTGTAGTGGGGTATAGGAGTGTATAGTAGTGTACAGTGCATACCTGTCAACCCCTGTCAGTGCCTACCTTATTACAGACCAATTCAGACCTTATTGGTCACCCCGTGCACCCTTATAAATCAATAGCAAGTCAGCAAATGTGTGAACTCTATTTGGATGTACATATTTTTGGTAAGTTGTGAAGAAACACTGGTTTTATATTTCACCATATATACAGATTAGGAGTGATTAACATTTCAAAAGTGTAGCTTGTGCATCCATAGCTGGTTATAAAGGCCTCGTGACACTATACAAGTGTGAAAGGAGTTTTGCAAATTGGAAAAATGTATATAATTTCATATTCCTGGATATCTCGATGATAAAGTTGTGCTAGCCTCGTAACAACATCATTTAAGGCAGTGGTTCTTAATCTCTGGGGTGCATGCACCCCCTCTAGGGGGGGGTGCGAGATGCCCTTTCTGAGAACCAAAGATGGGGGGGGGGTGCAGGCTGCAGTCAAGGTTAAGAACCACTGCTGTAACGCCTGCTTATAATGGTTCCTTGAACGTGGCATGGCAGCTTGGGTGTGGTGAGTGGGGCAGGGTGTGGGGACGAAGGTGGAAACTGGGCAGGCAGGGTGGGATCCGAAGGGTGGCGAGTCAAGTGAACAAGACCAGAGGTTGGGGCTCGTGGTGGAACTCCGGTTATTACTTTCCACGATCGCAGCTTTGCCACGTTATGGTTTATATCTCTGGCCATCAGATTTTGCCTCGTGGTGAATTGCAGGGTTATACCTTCACGTAATGACTTGGGTGTGTGTTATCGTTTCAGGAACTGTTGGTAAAAACAAGCACGCAAACTAACTAATTGTGGAAAATGTAAATTGAAGTCTACTGCCAATGAGCAGTCTTAATGTCAGACCTTCTTGAAACATGCTGCAAAGTAAAATTGCTTGGATTTTATGAGACTTTTGATTTATAACAAGTGGAACAACTTTCATATGGCATTTAGGTATTCACTACCAATGTTCTTGCCTGCTTTAATGCAGAATTTTTACATATCGATGTAATCATTTCAGATTAATGCTCCACATACATTTATGATTTTTTTTGCAACATTTCGATATGGACAGAGTGGATTAATGTGTGTGCTCAATATCTGCAATGTTTCATATTGGGTCATATACTGGCTATTTTTAGTCACCGATTTCTACAAAGATGAACACAACTTGTGATTGTACATCAAGTAAAAGGGCATCCACTGCAATGCGCAATTCTGTTTGCATCATATTGTTATAGGGAGGGGGAGTACATCGCATGATGGATTGGAGAGTAGGGGAGCCATGTCTATTTATGCGATTTTAATCATGGCTTTCCCTTTGCATTTGTTCTCTGGTAGAAGGATAGACAGCATGGATCAGTATAGGGATTGGCAATCATAATCAGATTGGAAAGTGTTATATTTTGTTGGTATATAATCGGATAATTTTAGCTAGGGTGACGTTTAGCCTTGTTTATACCGTGACTATGTACCAACTTGGGCTACAGATTATTAGACTGAAGAGTAGTTTTGACAGATGTTAGCCCACAATTCTACTTTTGAGACTTAAATGCGAAGTAGACCTCAAGTATAATTATAAGTGAAGTGTGGCATGCCACATGGGATAGGACGAGACGATGGGTTATTCTGAAATACCCAATTTCAAAGGGAAATCGAGCAATCGTGCTGTGACCAGATACCAAGACTGGGGTTCTGATGAATTGCATGAAACTATAGTGCAAGGGAAAGGCACGTGGCTTAATTTAAAAGACTCGGGTGTATACATGGCTGCAATTATGGTGTCGGTAGCATCTTTGGTGGTGCAGAAGTGGAGCAGAGACGTAATAGAGCTAGAAGTGCAGCAAACACGATATATTTAAGTTGAAGATTCCCCAAAAGTATCATTGCAAACCTCGTGTAAGAATCTGATTGAGCCATATGGACTCTTAAGAAGAGGAAGCTATTCAATGGGAAGAAACCCAGTAAACAAATGGGTCATCTGTGCATGAGAGACTTTGGAGACTACAGTTGTATTAAAAATGCTCCTGATTGGGGTATTTACAGCCGTTGGAAATTATAGGTACTGTCTCTGTACTTTACCTTGATGTGCCCGTGAGAAACACTAAGTTGATAGCAGATAAGGAAAGGCTCTGGCATTTTTGCAGATATTGGTTAAGTAGAAATATGTAACTAGTAGAAGAATTTATATTTTGGGTAGTAACGTGCATAATACTGGGCAGTGAAAAGAAGATGGAGACATTTTAAAATCAACAGTGGATTGTTTTAAGGATGGCAATAAACTACTTTGTGTTAATAGTGTTAAAAGATCATTGTTTGAGGCTGAATTAATGTTGGTTTACTGGTCTGAGAGCTATAATTTAACGAATCAACTAAAAACAGCATAATGCTTCAGTGAATAGTTCCACGCCGTGTATGATAGAAATCTTTTGGCAGGATTGGTTTAGCAACTTGGAATTTCAGAATATAAAGTGGTAAGAATTATGCAACAATTCAGTATATTAAAAAATACCATACATCGTAGTTTTCTGTTTAGTAATTTCTGCAATTTCTCCCAATTTTTTTTATTTCAGTTGCCAACAACTCCCTGCGTGGTGATAACAATGAGGCGTCGGCGAAAGTCCAGCAGTGGATCAGCTTCGCCGACAGCGAGATCGTTCCAGCCTCCGCCACCTGGGTCTTCCCCACGCTTGGTATCGTTCAGTACAACAAGCAGGTGGGTAGATTCACACTCTTCGGCTGCACATTCAAGTCCGTGTATGTGTGTGTAGTTCATATGGGGAGTGGTTGTGTAGCCGTTATTGCATTGCGCTACAAACCCAGCGACCCAAGTTGGATTGCCTCTCACAGCCAACACCAGCGGCGACTATTGGAATTGGTCCTGGGCCTCTCCTAGGTCGACTCGCCACTAGAGAGACAAAGGTGGCCGGGTGTGATGCTGGCCACCCCAAAAGCAATCGGGATTAGGGTATTGGCTACAAAAACAACATTTGAAGTTTAATTAAATATCAGTTTTTCTTGTACCTGACAGTCAACAGATCGGGCAAAGGAAGATGTCAAGAAAGCCTTGGGCATTTTGAACGAGCATCTAAAGGCTCACACTTTCCTGGTGGGGGAGCGAGTCAGTTTGGCGGACATCACGGTGGTGTGCAGTCTTCTCGCACTCTACAAACAGGTACTGGACTCATCCACACATTCACGAATATTTTTAAAGTTCGGTTTTGGTGCAGCCAAGGACTAAATCAATTTCGATTTGAAGCTTTCGTGACTGCAAGGATTCATCTTCTTTGGTTCTTTTGGTAAAGTCACGTAGAATGAGAATAAAATAACACAATAAAATTATCACGAAGTTTCAGCCACAACGCAAGCAGCCATCTTCAGGTGAAAGGTACAGAACTGTCGGGTACAGAACTGTCGGGATGACAGGTCTGTACCTTTCACCTGAAGACGGCCGCTTGCGTTGTGGCGGAAACGGCGTGAGAATTTTATTGTATTATTTTATTCTCATTCTACGTGACTTTACCGAAAGAACCAAAGAAAACTAAATCAATGTTACAAAGTTTCTAACTCGAGGCGTCTCATGTTCTTGTTATTTCTTAACACTGCAGGTTGCACTGTCTGCTTTAATAAAGTCCTGATGAAGTTGGGCTACAGTCGATAATATTGACGAGCCTTGTGATGTGTGTGACTCAAGTACGTGGGAACGAGGGACATGTTCATTGAGCTTATACGTGAAATCGCACGAATAACTAGCCAGCTTATGACAATATCATGGGCTGGACAGGAGAAATGGTCACTCAATGGTAATTGTAGGTTTTTTTCTCAAATGTGATGAAAATAAACCAACATTAAAGAAATCAGGAATGGCAACTATTGTTATACATTTGCTTTTGGATTAGACATGTAGCCGCAGCCAAGTTGCCAGCGCATTTGCAGCTGAGACGGTTTGCAATGGTGAACAGTTGAATTTGCACAGCCACAGATTACAAAAAAAATGACTGCGTTCTTAACCATACTTAAAATAATGTATCTATTCCAAGTGAAGCGAATTATTATGCACTGGCGTCACATTCCTTTCACTCCATAGCACCAGGGGCGTCACCACAGGTCCCCCTCGCCTCAAACAATGTTGCTCCAGGCACCGTCGCTTTGTTATTCCGGGCCCTGTTGCCCCTTGGCAGCCGACCGTGAAAGCCCTCGTTGCCACCGCCATGTGCTCCCCGTAGCACATCACCTCGTCTTCCCAGGCCTCCCTCCGTAACCACAAGGCTCCAGGCACTCCCCACCACAGTTTTTAAATCACAATGCCCTGCAGACGTACGCTCTCGTGCTCCAAGGTCCCATCAGCCCAAAGGCCCAAGCGCCACCAACAACCGCTGTCTGTTACTACATGCAAAGACAAAGAACCCCCGTGTAGCCGTAACAGACTTTTGGGGCAAGTGCTGTTAGTGTGCCCCTACTAACATGCATGCTTAATGCGCTTGCACACATGTATGTACATATGTATTGAAACTTACAATTCTACACATGCACACTAGCCAACTAAAATGTAGATTATGACCAACACTTGTGCGCTCTGAGATGCCCCAATGTGAGCTGAGTTTACCATATACACACGTCATTGCAGTATACTCCATTTGAACAGTAGATGGCAGACATACCTTGATCCACATTTAACTTTCCAACACCAAACGGTTGAAGTGAATGTAAAAACCATTACGCAAAAATAGCATAATTTTAATACTTCATTTTGCCAACAAAAAAAATCACCAAGCTAATATTCATACATTTGAAAAATACGGATCTGGTTTTAAACTTGTGCCAATGCAAGGCAAGCTGCTGTCCACGTGTTTCCAGCGCGTGCCGTCGCCACACGTGCACTTCGTATCAGAGAGCGCGAGGGGGCGCCTGTGTCCACGTACCGCAGGCCTAGGCCACTCGAGGTGGGGCATGCTTCTAGAAGCTTGTTTATTTTCTCTAAGCATATCTCAGTGGCACTCAGTGGCTTGTGCCTTTTGTTTGCTTTGTATCTGCTTGTTCGATGGCAGTTTTTAGAGTTGTGAAATTAAAATTTAAAACTTTTGGCTCTCTGCAAGCCAGTAATTTACATTTGAAGTAAAAAAGATGAATCCCATTTTGGAATTGTAATCATCTCACAAATGAACGTTTTGTTGATCGTTCATCTTTTAAGAGATACTTCTCGACTCTTTCTGTTCCAGGGTATTTAATACCCATGTGGAAAACCTTGACCCCAGTTTGCTGGAATAGGGAAAAGAATAATTGTTGAGGTACCCACAAGGGAGTCCCTTCAAGCTGTGGAATGTGCATAGACCACAGTTTTACGCCCAGTCCATGGGAAACTTAGCTTGCAATTACTTGGCAGTGGCCATGATACAAAATAATAAACTCATTAGTTACAAAGTAATGTTTTCTCAAACTAATTATGCTTTAACAATCCAAAATGTAGGGCTGTGTTGTGTTTTTTTTTAAGAATGTGTACAGTTATCTTGAGTGGTGCAAAATGATACAATTCCAAATACAAATGTTGGTGAGAGTAACAAGTGTGAAATTAGGCAACTATCCACAATGCATTTACAAACACTTCCCCTTGTATGTTTGTTATATTCTCAATATGTTTTACAGGTGGCGCTCTAACAGCTCGGTCGTATCATGGACGTGAAATCATTTTGAGATCCTATTGCTGTTCAATGATGGAATTGTCACTGAATAAAGTTGAGATGTTTGGTTTAGAAGGATGTCTGTCACCAATGGCTGATTTAAGTTTTCGATTAAATTATTGTTATTTTCTGCATTATTTGTTCTGTATATACTCAATTTCCACTGCCATTTAACAGTTAGTTTCTCTATGCCTGATTGATGTGGGTTCGTCTAGAAAACCACTTGGTAAATATAACAATCTGGATTTGAAGCTTTTGTGACTGCAGGAATCCATACTCTTTTTGGTTCTTTCGGTAAAGTCACGTAGGTAGAAAATTAATAGATCACGAAGTTTCGATCGCAACACAAGCAATCGTCATCAGGTGGGACAACCTCAGCATTAAATGTGGTCCTTAGAATTATATGATAAAGTTTAGGCATGTTAATTGTTTTATTTTGGATGTATTCAGATACAACTATAGTGTAGAGTGTAATTTATCATATTGTACATTGAGAGTAAAGATTTTCAATGTGTTAATTCCTGCAATGTCAAAGAACGTAACAAGTGAAAGCATCCCACGTAAAATGTCATGTTCTTGTTTTGGCTAGGTTCTGGAGCCCTCGTTTCGTCAGCCATTTGGCAACGCAAACCGCTGGTTTACCACCTGCATCAACCAGCCACAGTTCAAGGCTGTGCTGGGAGAAGTGAAGCTGTGTGACAAGATGGCCCAGTTTGATGGTATGGAGCCACTTTACCTCAAACATTCCTAAAGAGACGTTCAAACGGCTTAATGGGCTCAATTCATGTTAGGCGGTAAGGTAATTTTGACCAAAATTTGGTGGGAAAATTGTGAAATCGCTTTTTTTTCTGCAGATTTAACCAAATTCAAATGTTGGTTTGGAATTGTGTTCTTTACGAAGTCTCCTTGTACGTGCCAACCTATTTGAACAAAAAAAGATATTGTATTGATTGCAATGCATTGCAAACTGCGAAAAGCTGTCGGTGCACTTACAAGGCAACTTAACTTATTTTACAGCCAAAAAGTTTGCGGAACTACAGCCCAAGAAAGACACCCATTGCAAGGAGAAGTCCACAAAAGAGAACAAACACCACGACGAGAAGAAGGAAAAGAAGAAGGAGGAGCCTGCGGCCGCTGAGGAAGATTTTGACGCTGCAGATGAAGCGCTCGCAAATGAACCCAAAGCCAAAGACCCCTTTGCTGCCCTGCCCAAGAGGTCAGTGGCAGCGCCGGTGTGTGTGAGCGGTCCCCCGTCGTCCTCGCAAAAAAATCCTCTTGCCTTTTGGAATTTTGCAATCCCGAAGTCTATTCCCAGAACTGCAGGCATTGCCTTGAAATATAGCTTGCATGTGTGCCGGATGCCAGGAGGTTCATGGGATGGGCTGAATGAGGGTGGTGGAGGGGGGGGGATTTTGCATTCGGAAGAGGGAATGTGTGGCAGCTAGATTTCGAGAGGGGCGGCGGGAGGAGGCTCAAACTTGGTAGATATTTTTTTTAATGCATAGGTGGGGTGGCGAGCGAGTGTCGACGCAAGTCTCCCGTCTGACCTTCACTCTTTTTGGCACGGGTTTCGATGACTTGACTATGTGCCAGCTGTTTTTCTGGGGCCCTTGCATTCTGAATTCTCGGGGCCTCATCGTGAGGGGGAGGACGCACTTGTTGAGTTGAAGGGATTGGATTTCTCTCGGATCCATTGCATTTATTTCTTTGCGAACCCGGAGTGGATTTTGGACAATGGTGATTATTGGATGGGTGAATGGTTTAAACTGCTTTGGTCCTCTAAAATTAGTATTTCGATAGGCGAACTCTGTTGGCTAACTTTGTTACCTTGTGTGTGTTTTTTTACAATAGCATCACTATATTACTTTTTAAGATGTAGCAATTTTTCTGATAAAAAAAATATCCAGAAAGTTTGTATTTGATTTTTTAAGGAAAAACACTAATGGCAAGGTATCATATATCGTGATGTATGTGGTTATGCTATGTACGTCTGAACATTTTCTGAATTTTAGTTGATATAATTAAGACGAGCATACAAAACGGCCTACAGTTATTTCTTACGCATTTTAAAGGTAGTTAAGTCATAATAAATAGCTTTTGGTATATATCACACTTCTATTTGATTTAGCATGTTTATTGTAACGTTATATGTTTTTACTGTGACACTGCCATGGGCATGTTTTTTGACTCGTATTTCATGTTGGGGGGGGGGGGGAATGGGGAGTGGAATTCCAGCCAAAATATGGACAAGTGAGTGGAGAGAGGGCCTGGCCAATTCTCAACCCACTCTTCCCAAACTCGTGCAGTATTTTGCAAACAGAGATTGCTGCTATGATAAACCACTAGGCGGCACCTTTTAGGAAAATAACATTACAGGTTTTGCTCACTGTTTTGTTTATGCCATTTCACATGTATGTGACTAACCTTAACGCATTTCCTTTACACAATTTGCTGTGTGCGGTCGGAAGTGTGGGACAACATTGTTGTGTGCTGAATGCACCGCTCGGCAGGCAGCTGACTCCTTTGTTCGAGCCCTCTTTTTTTGGAACGGATCTTCTACTACTACAGCATAGAGCAGGTGTCACCAAACTACGGCCCGCGGGCCGAATGCGGCCCGCGGGCCGAATCCGTTCCGCGAGGTCAGCCCATCAGGCCCGCCGACGGTACTTGAATTTGGTTGATAAAACCTATGGAACACGAAACGTTGTGATACAATTCAAATTTCAATATTATGTTTAGAATACTAGGAGCTCTTCACGCATGCGGAGACCTGACTGCTATGTTCCTTAAATGTACTATTTTTAATTATTGTATCTAGATTTTCTTGTTTATTGTAATGTTTGCTTATTTCGCGCCATCCCAAGTACTTCCCCGGCTTGTGGTAGCTCCGCCTACGCTCTGACGTTACCATGGTTTCCATGGCAACGTCATGGCAACACGTTACCATGGTTTCCATGGCAACGTCATAAAAAAATTGCCATGACACGCATCTTTCCCGCCCCCAGATTTTCCAACTGTCAACACAGGTCCGACGCTCCAGAAATATTTATTTATTTATTATGCGGCCCGCGCTCGCCATTCTTTCAGTTATCCGGCCCACTGTGAAAAAAGTTTGGTGACCCCTGGCATAGAGCGAGGGGAACCTGTACTATGAAAAATGTTACGTACACTTAAAACTAAACCATCCACCCGTCTTACATTGACACGCATGCCTTTATTATGAGGATATAATTATAAACAAATAAACGTGAGATGTTTATATTGGCTTGATTTTTTTATAAAATGTTTCGTACAAAATTAAAATTGTGCCAAGTTAACAAAGTGAGAAAATCGAACGCTTGTGTAGTGTTAATACTTACGCGATCCGGGGGTAGAAATACCAAAGGGATCCCAGGTTACTGTTAAAGATGACTCACGGATGAAAGGAAAAAGAAGGCAGGGTGAGAGAGAGAGAGAGGGGAACGCCCAGGAGGGGGGGAGTGGTGACATCACCGTCAGGTGCTTCCTGGTGGGATATGAAGTGGAGTGGTCACACGCAGCATGAGCTTGTGTGGAAAATAAAGAAGTGTCGTCTCCATCTTCCTCTGGTGGACTCATTACACTCGCAATGTTTACAATGCCCGGAACGTTAACGGAGGTATTTTATACTCTTTGGTATTTTATACTTGTATTGTGCGCATGCAGTGCGTTCGTTTTGGACGAGTTCAAGCGGAAGTACTCGAACGAGGACACGCTTACGGTGGCAATCCCGCACTTCTGGCAGCACTTCGATAAGGAGGGCTGGTCCATCTGGTACGGCGAGTACAAATACCCGGACGAACTCACTCAAATCTTCATGAGCTGCAATCTCATCACAGGTCAGTGCGCGGTCAGGGCCCATGATGTGTACCGCAAAAATTAAAGCAATTGAGTCGTCATCATAGAATTTCATTAAGGTGGTGCCATGTCGAATCTTTTATGAAGTTAGTGGATCTGATATTTTCCACTGCTGCCAGACTTGGTTGGTTTTAAAATCAATGAGCGGCTTCATGGCATGGTTGAACTTTGCAACAGAATGGCCGAATCAATGTGACATTTGAGGCATTCGTTTCCACGAGCCAGACATATGCATCTCAGCTTTCTGCTGTGGAACGCACCTCATGATGAGGGATGTGGGTGGGCATAGAGGGTTTCTCCTTCAAGGTATTGAAGTCTTTACTCTTTGGTTCTATTCGGTAAAGTCACGTAGGTAAAAAATAAAACAACAAAAATCACGACGTTTCGGCCACAACACAAGCGGCCTTCATCAGGTGAAGGGACCAGACTGCCTCGAAGGTGTAGAGGGGGTGAACATGCGGGTGCACATGCCACCTGCATGTGCTGCGAAAGTTTGGGGTACCACTATTTGAATAATTGGCGGACTTAGCATGATGAAAAGTGTAGAGAGGGTGAACATGCGGGTGCACATGCACCCCCATGTGCTGCAAAAGTTTGGGGTACCACTACTTGAAAAAATATACTGTACCATTGAAAATTAGTTTAATGTTTGGTTCGATTTAGAACATCTTTCCAATGGTTGCTTAATTTGAAACCATCTTCTCGGTTGAAATTGTATCTGTAGATCTGAATTGCCTCGTGAACAAATCTCTGATAAAAACCCGTGGGTTTGCAAAGAACCTTGGTATCACGATATAATTTTCTCCGATACCAAGGTTCTTTGCAAACCCATCATGCTAAGTCCGCCAATTAAATTTTTTTCAAGTAGTGGTACCCCAAACTTTCGCAGCACATGCGGCATGTGCACCCGCATGTTCACCCTCTCTACACCTTTCATCATGCTAAGTCCACCAATTAAATGCTAATTTTTTATGCTAATTCCTTTGTCAAAGCACCTTAATCCCTCTCACACAGCTTAAAGGCCGTGGTCTGAGCTTGGCTCTGTTTCACTCCAGCGCAGTCTTCGAGACAGTCTGGTCCCTTCACCTGATGAAGGCCGCTTGTGTTGTGGCCGAAACGTCGTGATTTTTGTTGTTTTATTTTTTACCTACGTGACTTTACCGAATAGAACCAAAGAGTATGGATCCTTGCAGTCACGAAAGCTTCAAATCTAGTATTGAAGTCTTGTTCTATTTGAATAGTGACAATTCATTTTTGTCACCCTTTTTTAAGACGTTATTTCATATTCTTGGTTCTTTCGGTAAAGTCACGTAGAAGGGAAACAATAAAATAATACAAATATAAAACAAAATTCTCACGACGTTTCGACTGCAACACAAGCAAGCATCATCAGGTGTGAAAACCACAGCATTAATTAATCCAATCAAGATAGTCATTAAACGAGGTTTTTAAAGACTTTTATTTCGTGCGTTTTTTTAGCATATCTAAATGTAACGGTTTAAAATGCAAATAGTACAGTGTACAGCAAGGTTTGTGTGTGGCTCAAAGAATGACGACATTTAACCCTTTTGTAAGTCTTTTGCTGCTAATTCTCTAAACACTTTTTTTTTCGGTTTGTAATGCCTTGATGGTTAAGATAGCACCACACCGTGGTATTTATGTACTTGAAATATCACGTCCTTGTTCAGCACACTGGGTAAATCCCCTATATTTGCAACTGTCATATCTACTAAGTATGTGTGCGTTTTGCAAAGTGAGTGAATGATACGAATTTTAGGTGTATCTTGTAATTTTATTGTTTGTTGCGGTTGAACCCAAATCAAGAGCCGAATGGCTCACAGGGTAAATCCTAATAAATGAAACTGAAACTATTCATAAAAATTGCTAAATGTTTTAGAAAAGTATTTTTGACAGGGCATCGGAGTTGTGCTTGCAGCCATTACTTAATCAGGTTACTCTTATGCGTCATCTCCCATTTCCAATGAGAGTATTTTGACGTAAGTGAATGTCTGAAATGTCTATATGCTGTAGCAGTGGCCTGTAAGTACAGCTCCAATGTGAGATGAAGGTTTTATAGATGCCTGGCATTTGGCCATAATTTGAAGAGGTATTTTTCATTCCAAGGATGGTTGCTTGTCTGTTGAAGGGCACAAAGTTTTAACGTTCAATTTCATTACGTTGAACGTGCTCTCGTATGTACAAAGAGAAATATGTAACCATCTACACCCTCTTCATAGCAAGAGAGACCTTGGGGGAAAATTGAATGTCAACGGCAGAAAAAAAAGTTACTATTAAGTACTGTATAATAAAAAAAAACATGACAATTTACAACTCCAATTTAATATTCAAACGGTTGATATGTTTTTACATTTAGGCCCATGAACGATCATGCTAATGAATCCATAATAGAGGTTTCTGGGTTAGATCGCGTAAATATATAAATGTGTCGTTAAAACTCGACAGCCAACTAGTAAGGGTTGTCACGTAAACAGAACGTGCCAATTTGTCACTAGTACAGCACACCGGTGTGTTGGAGAGCCAAGCCACACCATTTAATTACAACTCTCTTCATCAGGCAACAGCCAGATTTGTCCAGTGCTAATGAATGATGTTAGAATTAGTTATTTCAAATGGAATGATTTTAAAAGTTTGAGCAAAGGTGAGTTATTGTTTCATGTGACAATTTACTTCGAGGCTATGTTGCATGTATTTACTTTTGAGTTCCGTATGCGTGTGTATATATTTTAATGCATACAGTGTGCATGCGTGTGTATAGTATTGTACTCATTCACGGGCCCGGGTAAAACTATGTGGCCGGGAGTCGGAGCCATTCCCTGTTCACCTTGGGGTGCGACAGGGATGTCCTCTGGCTCCAACGTTATTTAACATCTATTTCGACCACGTAGTTCGTGAAGCCTTCAGTAGCTGTACCGGAGGAATTTCCATCTGGCACAGATACAATGGGAGGCTGATCGATGCCCGGGTGCGGTCAAGGGATGGCTCCCTATTGGTCAACCACGTTATGTTTGCCGATCTGGTAATTGCGGCTTGCTCAGAGGAGGAGTTGGAGGCGCTGCTGCTGAAACTGGAGTGTACCACCTTACCATCAGCCCCACCAAAACGAAGTACCTGCCTGGTATTTTGTACCATCGGGCACTCCACCCAAACAACTCCCAATCGGTGATGAGGCAGTTGTAGAGAGTTTCCCATACCTGGGCAGTGTGCTCATGACCGGCTCCAGTTTAACAGCAGAGGTCTCACTCCGAATCGGTCGAGCAGCATTATCTTTTCATCGGTTGCATAACGCTGTGTGGAAGCTTTCTCGTCTGCCGCTCCGCATGAAGCTTCGGGTCTTCTCGGCCACAGTCATTCCCTCCCTTATCTATGCTTGCGAAACGTGGACTCCCCTAATGGAACATTTTCGCCGGTTAGAAACATTTAGGCTGGCCTGCCTACGATCAATCCTGGGTTTAACCAGGCTGCATTGTGTGAGGAACTCTCAAATCCTCAAGATCTCGACAAAGTCCCATCGGTGAGCTCCGACAGGCAAGGCTGCGTTGGCTGGGCCATGTAGCCCGCCTGCCCAAACAGCTTTTGTTCGGCCGGATCGAGGGGGCTAAACGGGCGCGACACGGGCTAGAGAGGAGATGGAGTGATGTGGTACAGGAGGATGTGGAGCTGAGTGGACTTGCCGATGACTGGTACCAGCGGTGTCAAGATCGGCCTCTATGGAGGAGGCTCGTGAAGGACGCTACTGGGCAGTTGGAGGCAGTCGCCCTCCAACAACAACGGAGGGCGGAGGAGCGACACTCACAACAACGAGCAGAGCGCTGGGTGGCTAAAGCACAGCAAGTTGGCACAGTAGGGGGCACAGGTGGTGCTTCAGCCAGTCATCTCAGTCAATCGACCCGTGGCACCTGGGTCTGCCCCGTGACCTGCCAGCGGGCGTTCGACACTTCACGTGGCCTCAAGGTGCACATAGCCTGGCACAAGCGTCGTGGTGATGTCACCGCTACTTAGTGGCGAATGGCCGTTGTTGTTGTTGTTGACTCATTCACGATGTGTATCTAGACGTTCTCATTTTAAGTATGTGTGAATTTTGTGTGTATATATTGTTAATTTGGTGGTGTACTTGATAGAAAAATACATCTCAAACTAAGTGCCCCACATTATCCATTCTATGCAACACTGCTTCGCCCTGGCTCACTTCCACTCGTGGTGTCTGCCTTCCTGGCCCTGTTTCTCTCCATATTCTTTGTTCTGGGCCATCTCCGCATATCTACTCAGCATTCTGCCTGTGGGTCTCATTCTGTGTTACAGCATGTATTTACGTGTGTGTAATTGTGTAACTGTTTTGTGTGTGTGTGTTAATGTGTTTTACAACGTGGGAGAAGCGGTAGTGTAGAGGTTAGCACGCTGCACTACGAATCTGGCGAGCCGGGTTCGATTCCTGCTCGCAGCCATCACCAGTGACGATTATCTGAACCGGTCCTAGGCCTCCCCTAGGTCGACTCGGCCTCAAATGAGTACCTGGTGTGGTGTGTAAACATCGCCACTCAGGAGACAAAGACTGTACCGAAAGACCCATACAATATGGGATGTAACTTATTACGCAATCGTGCCAATCATTGACTGCTGTGTTGTAATAAAGCATTTGGGTCAACGGATGAAATGTGCCCTACTAATTTAAATTGATAATGTTTTAGGCATTTCTCTTTTGCAAACGTTTAAATTATTTACCAATTATAAATGATAAGGATGTTGTCTGATATTCCATTGCAATGTCTGGACAGGTTACATTCTGACCTTATCCCAGCCCCAGTCATTTGATCGTATGCGATTTGTCGATGGAAAAAAAATACATCGGATCTGGTTATAAATCACAGTGCATCTTTGGCAATAATGATTAACCGGTGTGTTAAACTACGTGTGTGAGTGTAGGAATGTTCCAGCGCCTGGATAAGCTGCGTAAGAACGCCTTTGCCAGTGCGATTCTCTTTGGAGAAAACAACAAGAGCTCCATCTCCGGAATCTGGGTCTTCCGTGGCCAGGAACTTGCCTTTGAGGTACTAATGCTGACTGCTGTGTGCCCTGATGCAAAGCCGTGTGATAGCCAAGGGACAAGAATAATATTGACCTGCATGATTTTCTTAAGATATTGAATCTGAATGAGGTGCAGTCTGTGTTAATAAGGTATTATTCTAGAATTTGTATGCAATTTGGACATGTAAAGGAAAACCATGGACATAATGCTCAGAGTGAAAACAATGTATAAAGAGCATGAATCCTCAAACTGTATGTTTTGTTCACTTAAGGTGAATGTTTTGGTGTCTTTCGTGATTAATACAAATGTTGTTTGAGTAGACATCTACAGAGACATAGTTTTTGGTAGTGGCTATTCAACATGTATAATGTTCTGGTAGTAGGGTTGGTAGATATCACTTAACATTTTGCGATTACCTTACGTTTACTGTGCTTAAATTATAGCATGATAGATTGTATGTATGATCTGTAATATCAGATATGCCACAATATTTATAACTTAAATTGCTTTAGCACAACATTAACTCGTTATTCATTACTTTATTGGAAGTACTGGGCTCACTTTTGCAGTAGCTTGGCAATGTTCTAAATTGTCATCTAATATTGTTCAATATCACTTACCTAAATGTGTTCATTGTGTGTGTGTATATATACTCTGTGGCAATAGCAATCCTGTCTCTGTCTGCCATACCTCATGCAGGCCCTCTGGCATTTATCATCCATATATTTTTTTATTCGGTGTTGCCTTGCTGCTTTGGAAGTTAGCTCTTTTTTAACTGTCATTTCAGCCCCCTTCTAGGGTTTCTTTCCGTATTCTAATTCTCCACCTTTTGAAAAGTTATTTTCCAGCACTGCCTGATGTTTCTGCAGAGTATTGTAATTTTTCTCTGTTCAGAAGCTGGGTAAACCAAGTCCACCAACTTACACTTCCTCCTGTTAACATTCTGTACCGCTAGTATTCTTAACCGGTTATAAACTATATTCTTCACTCTGCAGAATAGTTTATGGTTCTACTTCTGTTAGCATTCGGCCAATAATTATTAATCCTATCCTGAACCAGGTGCTCTGCCTTGCTTTTGTGCCAATAATTTTATCTTCATCCTCTCCTGCTTTTCCATTATTATCGTCATGAGCATGTTTTAGGTTGTTGTGGCCTCCTCTATATGCCCTCTTTAGTTTGAATACAAACTCTTAATTTTATCTTTAATGTTGCACCTAGCACCAGAGTTCTATAAGCTCCATGTGAAGTTACAAACGTGCTCCCAGTGCTTCTCAATTGTCGCGCCTCCAGAATCTTTCACATTGTTGTCGGTGTCCCTTGCACCCCGTCTGCCCACAACTTTTAAAAAGCACTAGAAAATAAGTGACTGGCCTTTCAGTATAGACGCTGGCATCTTGGGCGATCGAGAGAGCATTATCACTTTTTGACGTTCATAATAATAATAGAGCCGGGCAAGGAATTAATGTAGATTTCATCAGGTGGGGTGGGGGGGGGGAGAAATTTGTGGGGCAATAAAAAAAGGCTACAAGGTGGGCACTACAGAGATGGGGGGGGGGGGGCAAAGTAACGACCAAGGTACAGGATCACGTTACTGTCGTATGGGAAGGATGAGAACAGTAGTGCTGTGCATTTCTTGATGTTTTTGGTTCTTGAACAGACTAAAGTTACAATAGTATAGAGAGAGATACAAATGTTGGCCGTTCTTGTTTTATGAAACTATATTTGTCTATGTTTAAACTAATCTGTGATATGAATTAAATTGGCTTGGTTATTGTTGATTCACAGCCACTCGTTGCCTATAAAATGAAGGCACCCTTTCTCAAAAATATTGATGCAATTGCATATAGCTGATGCAGGCAAAATACCACTTTTGTCATCGTGTACGTACGTATGTTGAACTTCTTTCGCACCGTACGTCGCCAACCGCGCTAATGGGCCGAGTCTCGTTTGCATTGCAGCTGTCCAGCGACTGGAAGGTCGACTTTGAGTCGTATGCCTGGCGCAAGCTGGACCCCGACAGCGAGGAATGCAAGACCATGGTGAAGGAGTACTTCTCTTGGGAAGGTGCATTCAGTCACGTGGGCAAACCCTTCAACCAGGGGAAGATCTTCAAGTGAAAACCACAAACTTGTCCTCCGCATTGCACATCGCCATCTCTTGTTCGCCATGATTACGTGTAATCTCAAGGTCCCTGTCGGCAAGAGACGGTCGTGAAGTTGCAAAAAATAATTTAGCAGCAGTTTCTCAAGCCCTTGACGTTTATTTTGAGTGTCACATGAGGTGTTAAGTGAACTTGTTGTGCTGTCTTGCTTAAAAACAAGGTAGTTAATAGGGGCACTCAAGTGATTGTGTTCTCAGTGTACCTGCATACCATCCTGATCGCGTTTACAATGCAGTATTGTGAGCTGTTTGACTGCTGTTAAAAAAATAAATTAACCTCGGCTGAAATGTCGTTTGTGTTTTGTTTTTAAGTCTCGTTTGGAAATGTTGAGCGAATCGAGATGTGGCACGGTCGTTGGTGTAAAACTTGCCTGGTTTGCACCTTTGCATGTCTGCCATTTTTTGACTTCTCAACACATTGTACTAAGTTGCACAATAAACACTTCATTTAATGGCACGCATTGTCAAGTCAATCTCAGGGACGCCTGTATGCCCATTTAATTGAGCTGACTAATGTTGCAGTGGGCAATGTATTCATGTGCGAATCTGACACCCGTTTTAATTGAAAGCGAACGCAGAAATCTCGCCTTGTTCGCTGAATATTGCAACGTTTTTGTTTTTACCCACGAGTGGTTTTCGGCAGATTTAGCAGTGACCTCTCCTTTCCACGTACCAGTTAGATGGGAGGCCTTTGTCACATGTTGATATCCTGTCACTTTCATTATTCACCGACCATATATTCTTAGGTGGGATAGATTTCATATAGTTTCTATAAATGGTTCCATTTAAAACATTAAAGAAGCAAACGTTAAATAATTGGCCATGGAAACTGGTAATTCAGGTCGGTGTTTTATGCGGCTCGTTTCTCTTGAACTGGTTGAGTCATTGGCGTTCCACCCATCTTCTCAAATACAACTTTTGCAGCTCACTTTACAATCACTGAGCTCTATTGTGTGAAATCATTACACGTGACATTCGTATGGAAATGAACGCGCCTCCTGATAATGGGAGTTGCATGCGGAAGTCTGGTTAATTTATTTAATCCGGTATTGGCGTCGCTACATTTACATCTTTATTGAATTTGATTCCATTTTGGCCCGTAAGCGATTTCTCCTATAACACGAGTACCTGGCCATACATTTGAGTGCTCTCCTAAAACAGAGGTCATCTCAAGCGTGCATAGCCACAGCAGAGGGCCAAGGATGCAAATCAAAGTCAATGAGCTCACTCCACTGCACATTTTTCTCAGCTCGTGTTTCTAGCCACTCGTCACATGCGTGGGTCGTTGCTTTATCTTAGTATGCAAATTGTCATGTTCCTATATGTGGTAAGACCTCATCAGAAGGTTATTCCGCAAGTCCCGATTCGCACATTTGGCTATATACGGCGCGAAAGAAGTTCAACATACGTACATTTCATGTATTATCAACGATGATCAAATCCACGGCAGAATGAAGGCCTCAAGCTGTCTCCGTCCTGTGATTCAACTTCATCTAGCAACGGCACGAGCTGATTGTATCGCTCCATCACAATGGGCATCTGCTCAGATACTCCACTATCATTACTCATAACCATTGGCCATCACTCCTTATAGCGACATGTCCTGCGCAAGCCCACGTTCAAAGGATCTAACAATTTCTCCACTCGTATACAATACTATAGATGATGATTCATTTATAGATAACCCACAAAAACTACAAGAATTCTACATATGTTGAAATTCGTTTGCACCATACGTAGCCAACCGTACTATTCGGAGGTGCGGGAGGACAAACTAAACAAAGCGGTTCGAAAGAAATGTCTATCTAGATTCAAAAGTGCATAGCTCCAATGGCAACCTAATATCGGAAGAAATATGACTGACAGCCGTAAAGCATTACTTCCTGAGCCTGCAATACATTGTCAGCACTGCACTGAGTTTTTTGCTCCGTCTACACCTTTGTAGTCGAACTGGTGTCTGAATTTGCGATGCAGTTTGTAAATCGTGTGACTTCGCGGCGGCATGCCCACGCGTCACCCTGGAATCGACGCTGCCTGTGTGCGATCCGTGAATCTCCAGCCACGATGCCACCTTCCCTCTCCGTTCCTCTATAAGATGTGGGGCCATCGCCTTCCTCCGCAATGTGTAATCACCTCTTGAGAAGAAATTGAGGGTCTTTAGAAATTTATAGATTGATAGATCACCAGTTATATTGAATGGAAAAGTTTGTGGGTTTAAACTTTGGCGCTGGTGAATCGGTTAATCATCCCTTTCGGGTCAAGTGAATGGAGGGTTTTTGGAAAGTCATCAGTTGTCCTACAGAAACGGGTTTCTGCCAAATAATTATGTTCTAAAGTCCATTACATCCTCGCTTTATCAATTGGTTAGACTCGTAGAGTAATAATGTGGCCTTGTTGGGGCACGCAACGCGATGAGTACTCGGGAAATGCGTGCATTGCTAGCGAGATTGAGGACCAGGTATTAAATTGGGCACAGTATCTGGACAAGATGTTGAACGATGTTTTGTTCACGAGGGGCAGTGCTGAAGTGTTACAAAGGACGGTGATATTCAAGACACTTCCAGCGGAGTGATGGCGACACACGACGGCGATGATGACGATGATTATGTTAATGTTTGCCTCGTGAGCTTTGCACGTGCATGGTGACGTCATATAAAGACGAGCGACGTCACCGCACCTGGACTTCGTTTAACCTCGCGAGAGCAACGTACACCTGTATTGGACAGTGTTGGCACCTGCTCGGGTGTCGGTAGTCCATTCAATGTTTGGCTGTTGGTGCTTGGATTTAATAAACTAAAAACTAAACTACTATTTTACCAGGTAAGGCCCACTGAGCTATATAGCTCTTTTTCAGAAGCGACTTGGTCACAAATGATCAGCTCACCGAAGTGGCTTATCACGTGGACATTTATAGCAGCCAAATACTCTTAACTCGTGTTTCGAAATTCATGTTTTTAAACTCATGTTGTTTCTAAACTCGTGTTTCTAAATGTGGAGGGAAATACCGGAAGACCCAGATTTTAAAAAAATCAAGTGGTCACATCTCGGTACGGCGGAGAGATCTTACCACTGACGGCAAAAGTACTGCTTTGGCAAATCAATAGTACAGTATGTCCCACTAATATACATTTGGGAAATTGTGCTCAGTACATATGTATCAGTGTCACTAGGAGACTTCGCAGTGTGCCAAGTGAGCTATACATTACCTGTCAATAAATTAGACGAGTGCATGCTTATACATTATTTAATCGTCTCATCCCGAGTGAAATGTTTTGCATGCAATGATTTACCCAACCGTCCACCACTGATCAATGAAGGCCTAATAACCAGTGACTATTTGCAAGGTCAGACCACATCATACCTCCATTGTTAAGAGGTTTTCGCAAGGCCGTAATTATACTATGTATTGGGGGGGGGGACATCCCCCCCCCAATATTCAAATATGCACAAAATGTCCCCCCCAATATATTGCTATAAAATATATTTTTAAAAGTACTAATAATTGCTATGCTATGTAAATAAAACAACAATTTGATAAACCTTGGCCACAATATCTGGACTTGTCTTCATATAGATCAATGCATAGATTTCTGTTTATATGATTATGGTTGTACTTTATTCATCCCTAATCTCAAACATTACATACTATGAAACAAGAAATGGTAAAACAGAGCAATGTAATACAATACACTATTATACATTATTGTAAAAATAAAAGTCCATCCCATGTGTGAGTGAATTTTTTAATATTTTTAGGCAGGAAATGGCAGGAAATGAGTTTTAAAATTTAGATCTTTTTCTGGGTTGGGACCCCCAGATCCCCTGGAAGATTTTGGTCCCCCCCCCCCTCCAATGTTGACTCCATGGCTACGGCCTTGGGTTTTCGTGTTGAATTCCAAAACTTGGCTAGCATTCGGAAGATTGCGAGCTCGAATTCAGGTCGGGTGGGTCTATCGTCCTTAAACAGTTGATTATGTAAGTATTGTGTGGGACTATTACGCCAGTCGTCCGATAGAGCCACGTCCTCGCCATCGAAATGTGGAATTTCGACTCCTGGCAAACCCCCACTGCTCGATTGACTTGGCTGTAAGCTGCGTACATGACTTGAATAAAGCGTGCAAGTGGCAGGCAAAACCAGGTTTGTTAACACAAGCTGTTGCCTAAAACTGCAAGTCTTTGAAACGTGTTCAAAGAATACCGCACAAATTCCTTGCATCAGCCCGGGTGGTGACGATCGGGAGTTTTATTGATGGCACCAATTATCTGAACACAATTACGTTGCTCCAAATGCCATTTTTGGACAATGCGGCTTCTAATGGCGATTGGACGTACTTCATTATGTTTGTATAGGAGAACACAAATCAGGTCATGGGCAATCATACCGTGCAAGTATCGTGATGTGTCCACTCTTGGGCGGTAATGTTATGAGATCAACTTGACCGATTACGCAGCAACGCCATCTCGCAGCCAGCCTGCCGGTCGCGATGCTGCTGTTCAATGCCATCAGGGTGATTGCACGCCGTGTACACACGGCACGGGCAGCGTGCACGCGTGCTCGGGACGGGCAAGAGCGCCCAATAACAGATAAGGGGAGAGGAGAGAGAGAAAGGGGGGAGGAGTAGCGCAGAGGAGGGATGGTGGCTTGATGGCGCAGGGTGAGAGAATTGATCTGGAGGGGTGTGGCACTCGATATAATCGAGGTGCCGTACCGCAGTGGCTGCTCTGCGGCAACCGGTGGCACTCTCAGCCTGCCGGCCACCACGCACACGCTGCGTGTTCAGCACCCCCGAGACATCACCATTCTTAGCGCGAGAGAGAGCCCACGGTGCGAACCCGTCGCGAGTGGTTTAAAGAGTTGTTCACGGGGATAGGAGCAGGAGAGGAGACTGCCAGCATCCTTCACCATGTGCGACTGTTTCCACATGGTGATTCCGCCTTGGAAGGCTGCTCTGCCCGAAGGTGGGTTGGGTTGGGTTGCGTGGGTTGGCTCGAGGGACGGGGATGCTAGGTGGAGTTGTTGTGCTTTACAATGGAGAGGCACTGCAGAGAGCGCATGTTGATGCCTCTGCCGCAAAGGGTGTGGCCCGGTGCTCCCCGAATACGTTTTTAAAACCATGGTCACATTGTTTTGTGTTACGTTTTTTTTTCACGACATGGAATCGTTTTGTGCATTTACACCACACGCTGTGTTGACCCGTGCAATATGTATCCCGTGGATATGCAAACACGCTCAGTGTGCTTGTGTGTCTTTGTTTACTTTAGCTACTAACTTTGCGATATCGTCTCTA